CTATGTGCTTTCTCAATATAAAGACGTACAGTGTGGAGCTTGCCATTTCCCCTGATTTCCAACTGGTGTGACTGACAGGTGGATTAACCAATCAGAGCAATACATGGTCTGTGACAAAACAATAGGCTCTATTCACGCTTACGTCAAAACCAGGAAAGACTTTTGGAAAGATGCGATCACAACTTACGGCTCGCCAAACATGAATCTATTAAAACTGACTATGTTAAAACCCATGGAAGTAAATGTGATCAGAGGTAAAATGAAGACTGCAGACGTATGTGCTGTTTGGAATCATCTTGAATTTGGCGCCTCATCTCTTCTAATTTCATGTACCCAGTGCGCTCAGAGTTGTGCGTCAGTGGGGAAATTATAAAAACTGAGGTATGGTTGAAGTTGTTGATTAGCTGAAACTAACGGAACGCTACAGTAATGACATTTAGATGAAGAAAACTGGGACTGGGAAGTTGTAATTGCATTGAAGAGAGCCTATGGTGATGGCACACAAGAAGAAAAAAAAAGAAAATGCTACAAATGACAAATCGGGGTAAAAGAAGTTATACATTTAGTTGAAATTTCTTCTACATTTGAGAGATTTTGAAGAAACAGCTGTGACTGGATTGGAACCAACCTTGACAAAACAAACTATTTGCAAGTTTCCCAGCTCCTCCTGCATTCTAACCAAATTAATATAAGAGACACTGGCCCACCAAGCTAGAGCTGTTTCATGAATAACTAAATAACTAAATAAATGCATGTTGTGTGGTTGATGTCCTTTGTTTCTTTTATGTTTTATTTATTCATGCGTAAGGCTGATCTAATCTCTGTTCCCACACTGTACACTGCAGCTGACTTAAGCCTTTTGCTCCACACACTCATATGTTTTAATGTTCAGATATTTTCAGAGCCTGTGGGTGCGTAAATAAGTAAACAGCTCTTAATCCTCTTTTGTCACGTAAATATAGTACTGGACTTCAACCCCCCGCTCTCCTTTACTCCATAAATTCTAATACTCCTGACACTTTGCAGCTGATGGCATCAACATTCCCTGGGGGTGGGATGCTAACTGTAGGCATGCTCTGTCTGAGGCTCTGTTAGACTTCACTCGGACATTTGTTTTAACACAATCGGACCAGAAAGAACTGATTTAGTTGGAGCTACAAAAGGTGATGTGGTATTTACTGTTAAACAACCCCCTCTCACATAGAATTACCGTATTTTCTGGGCTATTAGACGCGCTCTTAAGCCTCTAACCGCATCAAAAAACAACCCCGTAATCCAGAGCCCCCCATACACGAATCCACTCGGGTGTTCCAGCACGACTTCAGTAAACTACAAAGCCGCACCACCCGCAGCGCACAAAAACATGCACAAAGCAGACAGCGACCGCGCGGTAAAACACACCCGCAGTCACACTCATCACTCCACATGGACGAGGAACGGAACAAAGGAACGAACCGAAAAGCGAGTCCAATGTGCCACTCTGAGCCACAACTTGAACAACCGAGTCACTGCGAACACGCCAACAATCCAGTGGTCCCAGACAGCACCCTCCCTACACACCACAACTGAACAAAGCCCAGAGTCTCCGTGAAAGCACCAAACAAAGTCCGACTGACCCATCGAACTGTTGCGTTTCGTTTAAAGTCCGGTGTGGTTTATTTGTGAAAAAAGTTTGAAAATAGACCATTTAATGACGTTTTATAATCCAGAGCGTCTAATAGTCCGTAAAATACGATACAGTCACAAGTTAAATATCATTAGCCAAATCATGTTATAATGTTGTTACATCTTCAAAAACACACCTGGTAATAATCCTTTGTTATTAGTCTGTCTATGTCTCCAAAGGTCAAAATCCTCTGTTCCACCTTGTGATGTCATATAGTGATGGTTTCCAAATTGACAGCTACCATTTACCTTCAGTTAGTTCAGAAGAGTCTGGCAATTCCAGGTCTAAAATCATTCAAATGATTCTGGTGTAGGTGTAAGAAGCTTAAAAACACGACATCACAAGGTGGAACAGTGTTTTTCATTTGAAGAACTCACTAAATATGCAGTTTGTGTGTTAAACGTGTGTGAATGAAACAAAACACAACTCCAGGTCTGTTTGTGATGAGGAAACATTATAACATAGATCAGAAAGTAGCATAATACGGGCCCTCTAATGAAAATCTGCTATCCAACTGTACACAAACAGTCATTTAATTTCAGATATATTGTTAAATAATGCGTGAAGAGGATGCACAGAATGTAAGTCCAATAGCTGCCGTCCCTCTGCTGTGAAACAGTGGCCTGAGCTGGTTGTGATTATTCAGTGATTTGCTGCTGTGGCTCTGACAGCTTCACAACTATTGATCTATTTTCACTGTAAAGCAATTACAGAGCAATTGTTAAGTGAACAGCAGAGCACTCATCTCTCTCTTTCTCTTTAATGTTCTGTCCCAGGTGAGTTTTGGCTAAATGAGATCGGACAGTGCATTACAGGCATGTGACAGTGAGGGTTTGCAAAACACACTGCTATATAGATTTGTTATTACTTTAAGTAGTGGAGTATATAGTGCAGACAACAAAACATCAATACTATTTCAGACAAAGTTTCATTTATTTCAGAGCAGGATATCATAAAGAGAAGATCACCAATATTAGTTTGTAGTGGCGTAGTGTTTGTGCAAGGCCCCGGTCTGGATGGACGCAATTTGGAACGGTGCAAATTGGGAACAGTCATTTATCTGTCTGTACTGCACTGGTACTGGGGAGGGGGGGGCAATCCTAACCCATGATGGATCCTCAAAGTGGGCCCTGGTGCATCACATCGACTGCACCATCAAATGCTGCTTCACTGGTAGTTAATAGTTTCTTCAATTAGTGTGCTACATTGATAATCTTAAAGGGTCTATACCCTTGGTTCCCAAAGACTGGGTCGTGACTGTCAGGTGGATCTCAAGAGAGTTTTTCTGGGTCGCCTTGTCACGTTCTGTATGTAAGTCTGCAATATACAGTTATGATACATGTTAAAATGTAGGAACAAAATAGTCAATAAAATAAGGCTATTTTGTTCCAATATTGTTGGTTCAATTGAATGTTGAAAAGAAAAAGAAATGGGCTACATTTAATGTCCAAATAGATGACTTATAGATATTTTTCAGAGACACGATCAGTCAGTCAACAATAAAATATCCTCATTAATGTTCAGTCATGGTCAAATCCACCTTTATTTTGTGATTTACCAATAATGTCTATTGACTTGGATCACAAAGGTTTGTGACTTTTAAAATATGGGTCCCCAGAATAAAAGTTTTAAGAAACACTGATCTATATTACACTGTGTTCTGATAATGTTGTTTCCTTATTACAAACATACCTAGAGTTGTGTATTGTTTCACTCACACACACTGCATATTTAGGCCAAGTTCTTGTCTCAAAAATGACCACAACATGACATCACAAGTTGGAACAGAGCATTTTGAGCTTTGGAGATGTGGACAGACTAATAATAAAGTGTGAAAGAAACAAAAGACAACTCCAGATATGTTTTCATGGAGGGACCATCATTATAACATGGCTAAAAGATCACAAGAGTATGTTTTGCATAATATAGGCTTTAAGTTTTTCTGAATTTTCTGGGTTACAGATGTATAAATAAGAGAAAAAATACCCTGCCATTATGATTATTATAGTTTCTTAGGTGCAAGTTATAGCCCAAGTAATACACAAGCAATGTAAATTTATTTATTTATTTATTTTGCACATATAACATGACAATAAAAAGAACCACACTAGATAAAAGGTAGGTGCCAGAAGAGGCAAAAAACCCAATAGGGCTTATATTAAAGCCTCCACCTTATGAATACATAACAAAATTTCATTGTCATTGTGCATAAAAAAAAAAAAAAAAAAAAGTGAAATGTTTGGGGATCGTTGTTGAATTATAAACAATTTTATACATAAAAATACAAATCTGATAAATATTAATCTCATAAATATTAAGAATGTTAAGTTTGGTGAATAAATGTGCAGACAATGTTAGTGACATAGAATGAGTTGCAATTCGAACAAAACGTTTTTGCACCAATAATATTTAGTTCAGAGTAGAGAAAGTGCAGCCCAGACTATATTACACTATGACAGATAGGGATAAATTAAACTATAGTATAATGTAAGTACAGACGTAGAGTCCAGAAATTTATAAACTTTTCTTATAATACCAAGAGATTTTTTTTCTATTTTTTTTTTTTACCACAAATCAACCAACTATTACATACACAGGCTACTGAATTACTCCCATTGACCGTAGCTTCAGTTATAATGATTTGGGCTGCTGGTGTAGTCTATAATTCTGCAACATTTCAAGTGAACAACATTTATTTTTTCATAAATCCATCCACGCTATAACAGCTCAACCAGCGCGTAACTGCAAACCGGAAAAACAAAGCAGCGCGTCGCCGGTCACGTGTCCTGCTGCGTCCTTCTGAATGATTTAACGCTTTTGCATCACCACCTATCTCTCTTTCCCTCCTCTCTCTCTCTCTCTCCCTCTCCTCCCTCCTCCCTCTCTCCTCCGCCTGCTCCTCTGCGCTGGTGCACGCGCTGCCCTGAGATGCTGCTACTGATGCTGGCGATGACCGACCGCTGCGTCCGACCCGGGACCTCTAGAATCGCCCCGTTTCGCCGTGAGTACCATTTTACAAACACTTCCCCGCATCTATCCCGCGGGTTAACTTCACCCCAACTCCATCCACGTCTCTCCATCACTTTCTTCTCATCTACTCCGCCCGTTTTCGTGTTCCTTTGTGCGCTTTTGCCGTGGTCTGCTATGGCGTAGGATACGTTGAGTGGGATGGTTACGCGGACGGCTTTTTGGCTTTCGTTTACCTTCAGCGAGGGCGTTATCAGTGGACCAGAAGAAAACGAAAACAAAGCAGGCAGCAGGCAGCGGGCAGGGAGAGTTTTTAGGGCGGGTGTTAGCGCTTCTCCCTCGGGACCACGGGGCTGCAGTGTGGGGAGCGCAGCGAGGGACGTTTGCGTAAAGTATTTTGCAGGTAAGCGCGTAGTAAATGCTGTAGTAGCTAAGATCCAGTTCTGAAATGAGAATATGTGATTGATACTGCATTGTACGCCCAACTAGAGTACGCCTATGTTTAATTGATGTGAGACTGTGCTGCTGCTGCCGTAACAAATGTATCAAGGATCTCATCTCTTGCAAGCAAGTCCACTCTACAATGTGGGTTTTGTTTTAGCTTGTTCACTAGACCATATTTTCATATTTAAGTAAGATAATCTATGGTAAAAATGGTGCACAAAATCCAATATCGATATAGAACTTGATACACATGGAAATCTGTATGAAATTAATTTGATAAACTAATCATTTTAAGTCTGTCTCTGCCAATTTTTGTATAAAACGTCCAGTATTTGGCCTTTATAGCGGTGACCCTGAATCCTCTTTGCCACGTGGACCTGTCTGGGTCTCTAATGCCATTTCTGCTTTCAGTTAGAGAAGCACTTATCCAGCCATTTCAGTCTCAGTACCAATTCCAGCACTAAAGCTTTAAGTAGCTGCATCTATTTCCTTTAAAACACAAATAAAATAAGACAAAACTGATCCAAATGTGTGTTCATCTCTCAAGTAACTGCAGAACAGCTTAGTGTGAATAAAAGTTCAAATATTATGAGTTTCTGGATGCTCTGTGACCAGGAAATAGTCTTATTACGTCATTGTTTATGTCCAATCAGGATTTCAAGTTAACCAAAATTTAGAAGCTGATATCCGATCCAGAAAATTGTTCAGTATTGGTATCGGATCAGTGCATTCCTACGTTCAATCTTAACAATTTATCATTATTTTGTCATTTGTCAGTCTATTTCCTCGTCTTTTTATCACTCAGACATCACAGTGCACTCATAGTTGCTTGTTTAGTGTCGCTCTCAGACGTTTAAAGCTGCTATCTGTGGATCTGGGCTAATCCCTAATGACATGCTCCAATCTCGCCCTCCACTCACTCGATCGGCCATAAGGTCCTGTCCCCCGGGCGCCGCTCTGGGTGTTTTCCTCCTCTTTTATTCACTCCTTTATAGCGAGTAGTAGTGGTGACTCGCCGGCCCTGTCCGTGGTGCTGAAAACAGTCTTCAGTTAAACAGGAGCTAATAGCTTGATGGCTGACAGCGCAACAGGTGCCTATTGTGAGCGGAGTAATTTTATGTCAAGCGAGCGCCGCTACTTTCCATAATAGGCTTTTGTTGTGAAATAGTGGATTTGTGATATGGTGTTAAAGGGTCTATATTACACCATTTCCTCATCTATGTTGTAATTTCCTCATCACAAATAAACCTGGAGCTGTGTTTTGTTTTATTCACACATGTTCAACATATTAATCCTGCATATTTTGGTTGTGTTCTCCTTTCAAATGGAAAACAGTGCTCTGTTCCACCTTGTGATGTCATGTCTTAATACAGGAAGTGCTCCACTGTGTTTTAAAACTCAATACATTTTAGCCCTGGAATTGCCAATCTGTACTAAACTAAAGAAAATAGGTGTAAACAGTGTTGGGGAGTAATGGATTACATGTACTGGAGTTACGTAATCAAAGTACAAATTATGAGTAACTGTATTCAGTTACAGTTACAGTTTCAGTGAGTGGTAATTGGATTACAGTTACTTTGTTGAAATAAATGGATTACACGGCAGTATTTTCCTGTTTTCCTGTTTTCACATTTTGGGCTATATCCCCCTTTTTTTTCCTTTTTTTTTTTTTTTCTGATAATTCTACTCATTAAAACTAGATCTAAACCAGGATGAAAACCAGGTCTAAACTAGATCTAAACTAGATTTAAACCAGGTCTAAAACAGGTCTAAAACCAGGTCTAAAACCAGGACTAACCCAGGACTAAACCATCCTAGTCTTTGCTACTCTACAAGTAATCCAAAGTATTCAGATTACATTACTCACTTTAAGTAATTTAATGGATTCCGTTACAAACTACATTTTGGGGGATGTAATTTGTAATCTGTAGGGGAATACATTTTAAAAGTAACCTTCCCAGTACTGGCTGTAAACTTGAAAACTACCTCTACATCACATCGCAAGGTGGAAAAGAGCATTTATTTCCTTCTTTCTACAAGTTTTATGCATAAAAAGTAATACATCTGTGTCAGTTGTTAACACCGACATTGTGAATATTAGTACTCCTCTCCCCACCTAAAACAAGCCCATTTGTAAACTTGTAGCTTTAAATTTGTACAAGTTTGTGAAACTATCTCACTAAATGACCCTGACTAACTGGTTTTGACAAATGTTACTCAAAACATAATAATTAGCTATTATAAGTAATAGTAATTAATCACCGGGTACCAAAATCTTCCCCAATTGTGCAAAAGAAAGTTCAAATTTGTTCATATTATTGTGAGCGCTCCATGTTTTAAATGAGTACGTTGTGAGCCCTGTGAGAGATGTGAAGGATGATTTTGATGAGAGAAAATGTTGAAAAACAACAGCAGCAGAGTAAGAAGGATTACATAAGAGCTCCAACACTGTGATACTGCAGCCTGTCTCCCTGTATACCCCTCACACTCGAGTCCCAGCACTGAGTCACAACGAGGGAGACTCCAGCAGGTCAGACACACTCAGGGGGAGGTGGAGATGGAATCTGTCTAATCTGTCTAATACAGATGAGTAGACAGCGGTGGTTTGGATAGAGATGATGAGATGGTTTTCATAATGGTGATAAAGATTGTGAGGGGTTTATTTTCCATTTTTCACAGTTTAATTGATACAGTGAGCAGTTTTATGTGGGGGCAAAGAGTATGGAGAGACATTCGGCAAACTGTTGGATGTAGTTTACCAAGATTTAAAAGTGCAATTATTAAAAAGCCATCAGAAGCTCTTTGTATAGTAGTATTTACAAAATGAAATGTATACCAAAATAATCAATCAAACTTTATTTCTATAGCACCTTCCAACAACCAAAGCCGACCAAAGTGCTGTACAACATTAAAACAAGATAGAAAACAATAAACATCATACAAATAGGTCAACAAAGCACATCACACCGTTAAAATAAAGAAAGTGTCACAGGGCCACTAAGTGTTAAAAGTCACTCTAAATAAGTAGGTTTTAAGTTTGGCTTTGGTCAGGGATGGACCGTAACTCAATGGGCAAAGAGTTCCAGAGTTTTGGACCGACCACTGCAAAATAATGTTCTATCCTTGATAAAAATCCACTGTACTTTTATTTTTAAGATAGTAAAAAACAAAAAAACAAAAATTGTTCAAAACTGTGATATTGGTTTTTGGAATTGAACTCTTTATTGACACCACTAGTATATATTGAACATATTACACTATTTTCTGATCTAATGTTGATTCAAAAACATATCTACAGTTGTGTTTTGTTTTATTCACACATGTTTAACACACAAGCCCTGCATATTTAGTTCTTCTCTCAAACTGAAAACGCTCAGTTCCACCTTGTGATGTCATATTGTAATGCAGTGTTCCATTGTGTTTTTAAACTCCATACACCTTCACTAGAATCATCTGATTGATTTCATCCCTGGAATCGCCCATCTTCATTGAACTAAAGGTAAAAGGTATCTGTTAAAATGAATACTACCACTTCATGACATCACAAGGTGGAACAGAGCATTTTGAGATTGGAGATGTAAACACACTAATCATAAAGTGTTACTCAAACATGTGTGAATGAAACAAAACACTCCAGATATGTTTCTGATGAGCTAACAGAATTCTAGCATGGCTTAAAGCTCATAGGAGTCCGTTTTTTTGAACATAAAACCTTTAAGCTTGTGATTTAGAGGACATTGTGACTGCTGATGTAGTAAGCAGAAGAACTGATATTTTTGTGACTTGGCTTGAAGATGACTAAAAGGTTCTGTTGGCATGGGACGAGTTTTATTCTAAATCAATAAATCAAAACATTGTGCGTCTTAGTTCTAAATCGGAGACTTGAGAGAATGACGTCATAGCTCAAAATGTCCACTCGAAAACTCCATTCATAAATATTTACGTCACGAGCTGTGTAAATGGGTGAGTCACGGCGGCACCAACCACAGATTCAATAGGCTCTGAGGACGTATTACCTCATGTAGCACTCCTAACTCTAATAATGAAACAATGTGAGAAAAACCCTGCAGAGAGAGGAGGAAAGACAAAGCACATTGCAAGAATCAGTTGCTGGAGATTATGTTAAATTCAAAGGAACTGCAGTTATATAACACGCACGCCATCCTCTTCTAAGAATGCACAGACCATTCATATCAATAATGGTCAAAGAACAGCAACATTTGGTCCATAAAACGATCTAAAAATAAATTAGTACAGTATGAATTAATTTATGCGAATGCTGAGACATCCAGGAATATTATAAGTGAGCGCAAACAAAAACAACTGCACTGACTTCGCTTTTTGAGGCCAATGTTTTGTTGTCAACAAGCTCTGGCTATTGCTCTTGTTTGAACTTGTTTATAATATTTCACAGTATGGCATTACACTTCATTATCTACACAGAGAGGTCCAAGTCCAAGTTACATGTCAGATCTGCGGAGAGGCAACCCTGCTCACAGTTTTTCAAGGTATTTGGAACATTCTGTTAATACGCCCCACCAGAAAAAATAGTGCACTTTCAGTTCAAAAAGTAAAGTTAATGCTTCTTATCTTTTATTTTGTCACTCAAATCTGCTTCAAGTGCACAGAGTTTTGCATATTGTCAATGTTTTAGACTCAAAATAGCACTAAATTTTGACGGATTCTGATGCACTGATCCATCTTTTTTTATTCCGATGCTGTTTTCGATACTTTGGCTTTGACGATATCAACTGATACTACAGGGCAGAGACTGAAATTCTGATTTATTTCCTTTAAACACAAGCAGCATATGGTGAACAATTGATCATTTAAAGCAGCTACGGGACAGCTTTGAAAAAAATACAAGTTCAATATTACGAGGTGTTTTGGGCCGACATTGCCCAGTAAATCATCTTATTACACCCATTTATAGACCAAAATGGGATATCGACTGAACTG